AAATTTGCAAAGAATTTCCCTGACCAGTACTGTTATTTTATATATTATTGAATTAACCCAAATTAAGTAAAACTTTGATCATTCGTCCTACTCTCTGCTTTTTTAAAGAATTCCCAAAAAATCTTTTATTTTATGCCTGAAAAGTAACAAATTCAACATCCCCAAATGAGCAGCTTTTCAACTTGTTCTCAGAATCGGAACTCCCGCTGTTTTGTTCTACTAAGTGATGGAGGCGCCGGCAGTTGACTTAACTGAGATCATGTGTCCAGCACAAACCATTCACTATGAGGCTGCGATTGTTCTCTTCTCTCCCTAGGGTTGACTAGGAAGCAAACTGAAGGTTTTTTGGGTTTCAGATATAAATTCATTGAACTGCTTTATCCTATCTCTCCATGGCATACATCATTATAGCCATCACTGTTATTATCTCAAACCTTAATCTCCGTAAATTAAAACTCATAATAGAAGGTGAAAGGCTTTCTAGACTACTTTTCAGAAACTTCCAACTCTTCAATTCGCCAAGATTCCGCATGTTGTTACAGGAAAACCGAAATACTTTATTCCTCATTTTCCGAGAGGCTGAGTTTGGTTACCCCAAAATAAACTTCACATTCCACCTCATAAATTCGCCCCGGTTAAGTTTAATCTTTAGTGCTGTTTACAGTGAATTCTTTTTGAAGGAAAGAATCATTAGAAAAAGCGCCCCGTTTATCTGCTAGTATTCGCTTCTTTTTGAAATTGCGTGACAAAGCTTATGTCTGCCCAAGCACCAAAACGAGTCACATTTGTATACTTTGAGCAGCTTCTTGTCTGTAATTTGGTTCAACTGCAAAACTGGAGCGTGGTTGCTCTGACTTGTGCTGAGTCGCCAGATGGTTAGACTTCTGACGATCCTGGCGCTTGCTTCGTACTCTGTACTGTCAAACAGCTTGACAATTGCCCAGGCAAGAGCATTCGATAATACTTCAGTCATTTCGAGGTGTTTCTATCATCATCGTCCCTGAGGCTTCAAGTACAGACCATGATGAGGTGTCTTACTAGTTAGCGAACATCACACAAAACATAAATATTTACTCCAGAGAAGTAGATATGTCTAAGAATTGTTTTAAAAAAGTCACCAGTTCACTAAATTACTTTAAAAACTTTGCGAGATTGCATCATAGCACGCAAAAGTCAAACACACCTTCAGCTATTCCTTTTTCGAAAAGCTTCTGCGCTGTGCTCACATCTTTTGCAAGAAAAAATTCAAGCCAAGCTCGAACGGTGATATACTGAAAGAATATACATTTATTTTAAAGCATTCAAAAGCATATGAGAAATACTACCCTGCAGAGGAATTAATCGTGGCCTAGGATTTGAATCGTTCAGGATCTTATTGTGATTTTCTTGGAAATCCGAGCTCAAAAAACAAAGTTTAAAAATTGAAAGAAAGTTCATGCAGTGTCATTATCGACAACGTTGACTCGAAAGAAACTGACGGTTGCGTCTATTTGGCCATGAGATAATATTCAGACGAAGATTGTGCACAGAAGGACATCCGTTGATGTGCATTTTATAGCAAAATGAAAACCGGAAAGACATTGCGCATCTCTTACCAAAGGGCAACGAAGGAACGTGAAAATGAAAAAAACAAACGCTAACAATAATGAAGAAAAATAATGAACGAACGGTGCCTGTGATGGAAAAAACAATGGAACGAAAGATGTCTGGAGTGTTCACCAACGCCATTAACTGGCATTTTTCGATTTTCTATATTCCATCCAGTCAGTCAGTTTTAATCGCATCCCTTTTCATGCGTTTTTTGCAGGTATGCAATGCGGGAAATGCACATTGACGAGAGATTATCTGTGTGTGTGTCTCTGTGTGCGCTGCGTGTCTGTACCGATTTTTCATCTCGAGACCTGTAAAAGCTACAGGGCTGAAATTTTGGAAACTTAATCTACATGCAAGTGCGGATCTCAATCCTCAAAGTGGGCGGTCTTGCCCGCGTGGTGCCCACATAACAGCCCGCCAAATTTTTTTTCGGGTAAATTGATAACTCGGAGATCTGAGAAGCTAGAAAGCTGAAATGTCAGGGGGATGTTCCACGTCCAAGTAGGTATTAATGAGCTCTAATCCAGCCCTCGGGTAAGCGTGGCACCCGCATACGGGCCCCTGAAAGTTTTTTTCAGTAAGTTGCTAACTAAGAAGCCATGAAAGTTAGAAAGCTAAAATTTTAAGGGGGGTTTCTGGCGGCCAGTCTTAATTTGTTTGACTAAAAGCATTTGCCGGAAAAATCGGTGTCAGTAGCGACAAAAACTGCGAGTAACTATACAAAAAACGCATCTTTGCACGGGCAGCCATGTGTTGGCCAGTTATTCTATTTCTTGAAACCACAACCTCTTGTGCAAATTTATTTTATTTTATACTACCCTTTATCAACACTAGTCGCACTACTCAAACCCAATTATGATGCCGAATAGGAGCGTATCTATCGATACGTAGTCGGTGCAAATTACTGGTTTACAAAACTAGAACGGGTCAGCTTACTTGTACATTACTGGATTCGACTGGTATGCATTTTTCGGCCAGTGAACGAGCTTTGTCAGTGCTGTTGAGCAGCATATAAGCGAGAACTGCGTTATAACCAGTTTCACCACTAGCGGTCCCCCAAGCTGCGTTTATGGCTCGATCCAAATCACGGATTGCTTCGCGATCTGAAATGTGATTTTGAACACGTGAGTGATGGAAAATGGCATTCGATCAGCTGAAGTTCATAACATTATTGTACAACTATACAGCTGAAAACTTTTCCAGTTGTAATGACCGGTGATGTATGGCCATCCTGCTGGCGAATTTGACGTCCTCTTTGCCTATTGTAAAATCTACGATTTCAGTCATTTTCCCAAAAAGAAGCATTTGGCGAGTCGTTTCCAATGAAATTAGTGTAAGTTGTTAATCACCGCCTCATCTCAATCGTTGCAACTCTTAGACCTCCATGAAGTAATTTACAATCTTAAACCACTACAAAAATGAGTAATTGAGAAGTTAAAAAAAGAGCTGAATGCAAAAAAATGGAAAAAGATTTCCTTTTTGGGCTTGTTATGTTAAATAACAGTTACAGGGAGCTTCACACCAGGAAATAAACGTAATCCTTTTGATTCTAGTTATTTTAATATAAAAAAAGTACCAGGGACATATTGGGAGAACCACGTTGTGAACTGCAAGTAATCAGTATATTCCAAGTTAGTATTGGAAGACACTTTAAAAAATCGGCTAGTGGCAATAAAACTTATGATTTAAAAATCATAATTTCAGATATTGCCTTAATATTCTGTTCACACACTTTTTTAAAATAATTTTATGACTTATATATGTATCATGATTCACATCTCTTTCACTGATTTAAAAGA